ATAACATAAATGCGCGTAACATGCTTTTAAAGAAAAACATTGTTAACGCTCTTACTCTTGAGTCTTCAATGGGGTGGGGTGATAGTGAATAAAAAGAGGGGTGTTGGGAATTTTAATCTAGATCTATTAAATAGGGGATGGGGGTTGATAAAAGGGGGAGTGGGAATTTTTTTATGATACAATATAAGTATTTTTTTATAAAAAAGTTTAGTTTGTAAACCCAAACTAATGTTTTTTACAAAATACGCTAATTACAAAAAACTATTCAATTCTAGCGGTTTGCGAACAAATGCGCATTTTCAAACCACCGTTTAAGCATGATTTCAATAAGATTTAATATGCTGAATTGAGATTTATCAGGTTGGTGATTTTTAAAAGAATTATTTTCTAATTTTTAAAGCTGATTTTAACTGATTTTTTTTTTTTTTTAGCTTTGAGATATAAAGTTTTTGCTGACAACAATTAAAAATTAATAAAGAGGGGGAGTTTAATAAGCTTGGGATGGGTGGGAAAATTTTCCAAAAAATAATAATAACGTTTTCACCACTCTCCACTACCACCCCTTTATTAGGGGCTCGAGAGTAATATGCGGCGCCCATGAATTTTCTAGCATATATATATAAATATACAACCCTTGGAATTAGGGTCGGCATTTGGCCAACTGTTTGGCTAACTGTTGACCTGAAAGTGTTTGAGATCGGCAATTTTTTGCCAAACTTATTTCTGTACTTTATGGTAAGACCTTTGTATTAAATCTTTTTTTCCAACCTGATGCCGATCTCTAAAGATTGAGGTTGGCGAATTATTGCCGATCTCATTTTTCTTAATTCTGAGAGTTGTATGTATATATATATATATATATATATATATATATATATATATATATATATATATATATATATATATATATATATATATATATATATATATATATATATATATATATATATATATATATGTATACATATAACTGTGTAAACTATTATGAAATTTTTTTTTAGATGCTGATAGATGTATTTGCTCCAGAATTTCGTGATCAAAAAAATATGCATCTAAAAAATTTTTTTATGATTCTCCCACCCTTGGTAAGTTTTTTCTTATACTTTTTATTTTATTTTTAATAAAGGTAAAACTTGTATGTAATTTAAACTGTTGAGCAGTGCTAAATTGTGGTATAAAAATAAAGATTGTTCTAGAAACTGTAGTAATAAATAATTTTAAATTTTTTTTAATATAGGTATTATTTTTTATTATTTAATATATAATATAGGTATTATTTATTATTATTTAATATATAAGTATTTAAAGAAAATATATATTAAGTATTATAATAAGTAATTTGGTTGGGAGGATAACTAAAATAAACTATGATAGCTAATTTAAAAAAAAAATTAAAATTTTTTTACCACAAAACATTACAAAGATTTTATTTTATAAAATGTTTAAAAATGTCTTAAAAATCTTTTTCTTTTTTTATGATTGGTTCAGCAAAATATCACAAAATTTACATCATTTTAATTGGGTTAGATTGGAAATCAGTCAATTATCATTATCATTATGTGTTAAAGTAATATATATATATATATATATATATATATATATATATATATATATATATATATATATATATATATATATATATATATATATATATATATATATATATATATATATATATATATATATATATATATATATATATATATATATATATATATATATATATAGTGAATTGGTTATACTTTACTTGTTATGATAAAATTTCATGATTTGAGATTAAAAGTGTGCAAATTTAATAGATACAGGTGTAAATCATGATTAAGAATATATTCATAATATTTTACAGACATTGAATTTTGTGGAATACAGCATGAATTGCAAGGAGAAAGTAAATAAGAAAAATAAAATTGGTGCAACTTTCACTGAGGATGGTTTTGTTATGGGTGTTGCATACATATTGAAGTTATTAGACCAATACAATGAGTTTGATTCACTTCATTGGTTTCAATCGGTTGCTGATAAGTACAATAATGAAAAGGTTTTATTTATATATTTTTATTATTATCTGGTGAACTTTTATAATATATAGCAAGAAAAAGTAGTTGCTGCAAAGTATTTGTATTGCAAAGTTGTTTAGTTAAAGTTTATAATAATAAAAAGTATAAATTTTGTATTTACTTTATTACAAGCTAATATATTTTAAAATATTATTTATAGACATAAAATTACAGAATCAACATAACAAATTCAAATTCAATTTCTCTCCCCAGTGGGCAATTTAAAATTGAGTTTATGTTTAATTTTCATGTTGTTTTATTGGTGTCTTTCAACATTTATATTATGACATGGGAATGACTTTTGATTGCGACTAAATTAATATTTATATATTTTTATGTTTTATTTTTTAGAGTTCTATATATTTTTATTTTTGTTTTATGAGTTTTATATTTTTATTTCTAATTTATGGGTTTTATATATTTATTTATGAGTTTTATCTCATTGAAAATTCAGTTATAGAGAATAACTAGGGGGTGATTGCATAAATGATAGTTCATTGATTATTTTTATTGAGAAGAAACTTTTTTACATGGGTTATGAAGGCATTTCTATATGTCATTTTGGATAATTTTTTTTAATTTTAACAGGAAGAGAGTTCTAATAGTGAATTGATTGACTTGATTACTTGATTGACTTTATGCCATACTTATGTGTTTGTTTTTATGGCTTAGAGAGACTACAATAAGATACAGACCTAAGTTTATAACTATGAATATCATTTGTAAATTTCAAAAGTCTTAAAAGTGTAGGTAAAAGACCGTAGTTTATTGAAAACGGATTTTTTCCGTAACAATACAACGGTAAAAGTCTGATAAATACTACGGAGTTTTTTTACAGTGTAGTGCTATTTTTATTTGAAGAAACACTATGACTTATCAATTTAAAATTTGATTAGAAGATTAACATTGTATACTATCCGTAAGTAACCATGTAAAACCGGTAAAACTGGTCTGAGCCTGATATAAATTATAATAATAAATACGAAATAAAAACAAATTCCATTAAATTTTTAAACTTTAAATAAAGTTATGAAGCTATGAAAAATTAGACAGATATATTTTAATATATATTAAAAAGTATATATAAAATTAGAGAGTCATTGTAAGGAGTTGTGTTTTTGGATGCACAAAATACAGTATCAGCTTGAATTTAACATTATTTTAAATATATGTTTCTGTTTTTATATTTATATGAAGTAATTATGGTTTTAGGCAATGACAGTTAAAAATGCTACAGGAGAAAAAGATGAGAAGTTGCTTCAGACAACAAGCTTAACTTTGAAACGCCTAACAGCTTATCAAAGAGTGAGTAATTTTATTATGTTGTCATTTAACTTTAGTCGATTTTAAAGGCTTTTACTTTTTAAAAAATAAATTTAATATGGATAAAAGAGGATTAGATTTGATCAACTATAAAAAAAACTGCAAAGTGGTTCTCGGTTGAGTATATCAATTTCAAATGAGTTGGTACAAGGTCTCTATGATGCTTATTTTGGCTAGAATTATAAAAAGACATTTTTTGAAAAGGGTTTTACAATGTCCAAAAGCAAAACGAAATTTTTTTTTTTCTAATTTCAACTTTTTTTTTTTTGCTCAGGGGAAAGTGAGGTAATGGCGAACGCGGGGTAATGGTCAAAACAGCATAATAGAAAAGTATATTTAACAATTTTTATTTACCTGCTGAGATGGAATCCCACGCCCACGTTCCAGACGTGCAGTAGTGTAATGAAACTGCAATTATTGTATACAATAATTTGATTCTAACTTTTTCTGATAATTTCATGCAACTTTTTTTCTTGAGTAACATTCCTATTGTAGCTACTATAGATCTTTTTGTTGTTGTCATTGCATAGTATAATTTATGCACTTAATTATTACAAACATTACACAACTGTGTGATTACCGACGATGTGTTCGGAATTTTCCCATGTACCTAGGGTAACTCCAAACACCAATGATTTCATTTTTTCCCTAAGTTTTTATTTTATAATAATATTTATAAAAATTGCTTTGAAGGATTTGTGACTGAATAGTTAGACTAATTGATAAGCAATAAATATGATCAATTTTATATAACTAGTGTCTTTAATCCGCATTCCAGCTTAGCTGTTCGCCAATACCCCACTCTCCCCTATAGACTAATTGTTGAGAATTTTTTTGAATTTAAATGTTAATTTCTTTTTAGGAATTCCAATTGCTTTTTTTCTCGCTGAGTAGTGCACGAATATTTTTTCGAGCTGGAAAAAGTTCAGAAGAAAATCTAGATGGTACAATACATTATTAATTAATCAATCTTGAATTACAATGACGTACATTTATTAATATACGTTGTTGAAATTTAAGACAAATAAATATTATTTACTAATTTTTGGAGGGAGAAAAATTAAAATAACTATTAGCTTTTGTTCACTTTACTAGTTAGTTTGTGTGCAATGAATTGATATTCAGTTATAATTCCATGAAATAGCTAAAAGTTGTATTTAAGGATACGCAATTTTTGTTTGACTATTTTTAATATTTTTGTCAAAACATAAACTGTTAAATATTGTTTACTTCAAAAATTTTATTCAATAAAAAAGGGAAATATATAACAAATGATTTTTTGAATATAAATTGAATAAAAAGGTTTTTATTCTTTTAAAAAAATTAAATACTTTGGGTAAAGTGCAAACATCAAACAACAAATTGGCACTTTTTTGCATAACAATAAATCTATGGATCTTACTGTTACAACATTTTTATGTTCTAACATGATTCAAGGTGCACCATTCTACACATAGATTTTATTAAAATAGGCGATAATTTACTAAAATGTATAAAATTAACAATAGATATTTCCGAGTTTTGTTTCTATCTTATTGTAACATAATGTTCTTTACATAATTAATATTTATAACGTTTTTCTATATTTTTGCAATTCGCTTTCAGATAAAACCTCCGGATCTTCAAAGAAAGAAGAAATTCCGCCAAAAACTGATTAGTTCTTTTGTGTTTGTCCACCGAAAACTGATTATTCATTTTGTGTCCAACAAAAATTGGTTAATCATTTTGTGAGTGTCCACCGAAAACTGATTATTCATTTTGTGTGTGTCCACCGAAAACTGATTAGTCATTTTGTATGTGTTTGTATATATATATTATTGTCTAGCTTGTTATTTTAAATATATATTTTTTAAATTAGAATTAAACAATTATTATAATTTTTTCTTTGAAATTCTTTTTGGAATTTTTTTTAAATAATTCTTGTGTACAAATTTTTTTACCGAAAAATAATTTTTGCTTTTACGTAAATTATTTTCATTTTTAAAGACTAAGCCGACGTTTCATCTTTAGACTAAGGCGACGCACAATGGAAAATAAAGGTCTGTTTTAGATCAAAAATCAATAACTTTTTTGTTACTAATGATAAAGTGTTGAAATTTTGCACAAATGTAGAGTAGTATATGGGGCTTCTAAGGAAATATTTTTTATAAAAAATTTAATATAAAACTCGTAAATAAAAATCAAAAACCTCACAATTTTTTTTTTTTTTTTTTTTACAAAAATCAATAACTTTTTTGTTACTAATGATAAAGTGTTGACATTTTGCACAAATGTAAAGAAATATGAGGCTTCTAAGGAAATATTAAAAAAAAATTAATATAAAATTTTTAAATAAAAATCAAAAACCTCACAATTTTCATTTTTTGTTTTTACTTTTAACTAAACATGTTCTTTTTAATTTTATTTAAAAACTTTAAAAGTATTAAAAACGACAAAAAATGCTTATTTATTTAGAAAATATATTAATATTAAATTTATATAATAAAAAAACATTTATACGAGCTTTTGGCTAATCTCTAGACAAAAAAAACAAATGTACTTTTCAATCTTTTAAACAAAAATTTTCCTTATATTAGGTTTAATTGCTTTACTAATTTGTTTTTTTAATAGTTGCGTGTAATTAATTAATTTGCATATATTTAAACATTTACATGATTACATTAGGCACTTCAACATCTGAGCGTGTAATATCGATAATCGATAAAACACGGCTAAAGAAAAAAGATCTGAGGTTTTATGCCGACAAAAAAGTTTGAGGTGTATTTTCTTCAATCGTGCATCCGATGACTTAAAATGCAAAAACTTTTTATTTGTTTATTCCAAAAAGTAGAACCCCAGCTTATCAACAGTACCAAAAATATTTTATTGAGATTTTCGTTTTTAGTGATAATTTGAATCAAAAACTAAGGTCATTTTATAACCTAAATATTTTTGAAGGCATTTAGTGTTTTTTTAATATAATAAAAAAATCAAATACAGCATTATATTAAGCTTATAATGTGCATGTTTTTGAATGGTAAGCGTTGATCACACAAAAAATATGCCTCCCACCAAAAAGTAAACTTTAAAAAAAAATTTTTTTAGCACATATTAGCTTTCAAGACTCAACTCGTCAATTTTCAAGACGGAAATTTTGTTTTTAAAACCAGTTTATTGATTTGGAAAACCTATTTTGCATTACCATTAAATAGAAATTTTTTTCAAAAAAGTACTGTCACAGATTTATTATGTCAAACGTGAGTTGTTTCCTATTCATTAAAAGTCCATTTACTATAGTTTTTATTGGTATTATATTATATAAATAGTAACGGTCTTGTTTATTGTTACTTTTGTAAATAAACGGAAACGCTGATGCGGTTCTTAAATTGCTAAAAACCTCAAAAGTCATACAAAAAAAATTTTTAATTTTGTGGTTTAAAATTTAATAAGTTTTCAACTAATAATAATATAACGATAAGTTCGTTATTTTTTAACTGATCATGTTTAGCTCTAACTTATGGAGTTTGTTTTGTTTTCATTTTACATTATAGAAAAAATGTTGAAGTGCCTAATTACATGACATATGTTTTCAAGAGTTAATGAAATGCTTATTATAGCAATATTCAGAATAGTTTATTAATAATAACTTTTATACAGTGAGTTTATATGGAATGAATTATAAGTCGACTTTCAAAAGCTGCAAAGTATTTTCATCGAGTTCTTGGACATTTTTGTTGTACGGTTTTCTAATGCTGGTGATATACGGATCGAAAGTGTACAGAAGAGTATGAAATATGTCCTCATTTGTAGCTAATCTAGAATATTTTCCGGCATGATGAAGGCGAAGTTTTTTATAATCTTTATTACGGGATTTTTGCGCATCTTCTAAAAGTTGCCCGATAGGCAGTGCAAAATGTTTTATGATATTTTCTCCATGAAGTAAAATTTTGTGTACTAAAGACGGCATTAAGTACCTTGCATAAATGTGGGTAGTTTCTATAGCATATGTCCCGAAACTTTCAGCATTTATCATAACACCTGAGGAGAGAGCTTGTAGAATTATGTAAAATTGTTTAATTAAATTTTCATTTACTTCAGTCATTTCAGAAGAGCAGCTTGCATTGTAAAAAAATCTCCTAGCAGTATTACCATCATTGGTATTACCACTTACTTGTTCTGGTTTGTCGACGATTAACCCTAGCTGTTCACGAAAACGCTTCTGTACCAAGGTCTTCTTCTGTTTCTTTTTTTCGTTTTTTTTCTTCACCTTTAGCTAACCATGTTTGGAAAGACAGGTTGTAGGAAATATGTAATATTATTTCCATACACCGAATCCAGACATGTAATGTCGACAGTCCATATTGATACGAACTTTCATTTTCAGGTCTAGCAGACCAAATCGTGTCGTGGAGTAGCTCCACATATTGTACATGTAGTCGCAGAAGGCGTATCCGTTAATACCTGAGCCACTTTTCCATCTATCATTGTTAAAAAAAGTTCATGTTTCACTTGTATTCCTATAGATGGCCGTAAAGAGTATATTTGGCTTTTTATTTCATCTACAACAGTTTTAGTTTTCTCAGGAGTCTCTTTTCAAAATTCTATGCATATAGGTTGACAAAAACGTACATACAAAGGAGCCAGATTTTGCCAAACAACTGTGCCAGTTACTTCATCAATTAATTTGATCGGTACCAAAGAACTAATGAATAAATTCGCATCAGAAATAAGTTCAGATTCCATCGGAAGTTTCTGCTTGTACTCGATGGCCAGAGGAGCCATCACAACCGCACTTACTATACAAAACTAATTGTTTAAATTTATTATTGTATACGGAATCTATAGTCAAAATTCTATCTACAGTGTGATCCAATAAATCTTGCAGTTCCATAAATTTTGCATGTGTGTTCACAATTTCTATTGCAGAAGATGGTGGATAGCAAGTTTATTTAATTTCTTGCAACTTGTAATACGGTGGGAATAAGGAACAGTTTTTTTTCGTCTGTCAACTTCCTCAAGTAAAAATATTGTGCTTTAGTTAAATCTAAATCAACAAACACGCTGAGTTCTTCTTTATCTGTCAGTAAAACGTTTATGTTTTCCATAAAACTTGACACAAAACAGAGATCTTTTTGTTTTTTTTTTCGACAATCCTTAATGCTTCCACAATCTTTGCTTCTGTTTCTTCTCCTATTGAACGTAGTGCCTGAAGATATGCACTTTCCGTGACGCCGTTTATTAAACGACGTTTATTAAACGACGGAATAATGTTTCTTTGAATATCACTAACAATGAAACACAAGCTATCCTGAGAAACTTAATAATTTTCTTTTAAAATTGTTGATAGTGTCTCAGTTGTTCTTCCTTCGTCAATATAGGAAAGTAACAATTGACGTTTCAACCACTTAAAAGCTGTCATTTTAAAAAGTATTTAATTTCCACTGTGAATTTATTGCAGTTATATAAATATTTCAACTTTTTATATAATACTTTTTAAATGAAGCAGTGTTAACAAAGTTTTCACCACAAAATGCAGAAATAATTGAATGTATGTCCATCAAAATTAATTCTCGGACAAAAAAACTTTTGTTATAAACAGATAGTCTATAAAAAGCGGTTTTTTGTTTTCTGACTTTAATTACTTTTTTATCTATAACTTTATAAACCGCACGTATCCGCACCTGATTTTTAATAAATCATTTTTATAGACACCTAAGCTACTAATTAATTATAAAAGTAAAGCATCGGTGATTGCCAAAATTATCAGTGAACTTAAAGATTTTTTTTTCTTTCTTACTTTATAGTTCAATTAGTTATTAGTAAACAAAACCATATAATTAAAAAAATGAATTTGTTCTAAAATCTCCATAAGATGATGCTTTCAAAAATAGATAATACTTTATACTTATTCATAAAAAGTTTTACAGAAAACAACTTTTAAAGTTATGAAGCAAATAAGTTTAAATTATATACCGTCTCATATTTATGAAAATTTTCAATTTTCAAAAATATGAGACGATAGGGCTTCAAAAATGATCTTTTTACAAAAAATTAGGTAAAATTCCTACATTATAGTAAAGATTGACTATTAAAATATTAAAAAATAAGTATATAAAATTTCAGTAGTAAAATTGAAATTTAAACAAAAAATTTATGGTACGATTTTGTAGTACTATTTTCTACTGTGCGACGTGCCGAAAACTTCTGATTTATAAGCTAAAAAATAATCCTGTAATCTGCTACCATTGCTAGCGAACAGTTTAAGCTTCTTTATCCTGTCCCATTTTTTGGTTAAAACAACTACAAACCCTCCTAAAATCTACCGAATCTAATGATAGTGATACCAACACAACTTGGTAAACTTTGTGCCTAAAATAACGTTATTTATTTTTTATTTTTTTATTAAAATCTAGACTAAAAACGCAATTCAACAAATCTATACTCTAGATTAGGTACCAGCATTTTTTAGTATTAGGTTGCGTCAAGCTGGAGTAGATCGTTTATAAAAAAATAAACGGCCGCCGTGGCGCAGTGTTGCAAGAAAATAAACGGCTCCGGCCGTGGCACAGTAGTTAGAGCCTTTGCTTTATAAGCAAAATCCAGGATCAAAACGAGCTTTGGGCATATTTTTGCGTTACGGTAAGGAAGGATGCGTGAGTTTCCTGGTTAAATCCACTTCTGCGGTGCTCTGTGACAAGACCATTAGGTCTTCTTGGGGCATCTAAATAACAACAACAACAACAACAAAAATAAGAGTTGACTCAAAAATAAAAAAAACCTCACGTTTACTAGTGACGATCTTATTAAACAAATAAGTTCGAACATAAATAAACCGCCTGAAACATTTTTGTAGAATAACAAAGAAAAGAGTCATTAAAAAT